GGGGGGGGGGGGGGGGGTGAAGAACGATCCATTCATTTTAGAAACCATTGCGGCCCATGTATTGCATGCGGTTGGAGGGCACAGTGATCACGTATATTTTGTACAATATCCTCTGATGTCAGGTGCAGGATAGTGACAAACAGCGCGCTTACTTCTCGCGCGGTCCTGGGTTCGAATCCCAGGTCGACCCCGCCAGGACCAACCAAGCCTTCTACCCTTCGGGGACGGTAAATTAGTATCAGATTCGCCTGGGAGGATAAGAACAGTGACTCGGCTAGGCCCGATGCGTGCAGCACCCTACAAAGTGATTGATCAACGGTGAAGACCTCACCCTTGTCCCCATCCTCTGAAGTAATTGCGGGGTGGCCTTGGCTCGGCCGTGCCTCCCTCCTCTGAAAGGTTCCGGCTCAAAGCGCAGAAAACCAGAGTCGCCGGAAGTGCTGACGAATGGTCCTCTCATTCCCCCCCCCCTCCCCTCCCCAACTGCCTTAGCACCCAAACTTGTTCGCTTTGACGGGACGTCGCCTTTACGGAAAGGGCAAAGCTTTACGGATCCACTGAAGATTATCACAAAACAACATGAGTCAGGCAAAAATAGAGAGCAACATGCAATCAGACCTCTACTATTCACCGACCTTCGCTTCCTGAAAGGCAATTAACTTATCAAAACTAGCAAATGCCATTAAGTATAATATGATGTGTGCGACTTATGGTAAGTAATAATACTGGAAAACTTTATGGAACACACCTTCACGGCTGAGTTCAGCCTTCTTTTGACGTAAATATTCTGCTTCATAAATCATTCTTGGACGGGTATTCGCCTAAAATGATTCAGATTACTTCTATATTGTTGTATTGTTATTGGCGTTGTTTTTCCTTTCGGGGGGGGGGGGCTGGGTATCAATATTATTCCTCAATCCAGGCATATCCCACAACAAAGCGAAGGTCTCAACGGAGAGCGGAGGGTCTTCACTTTCAAAGGAAAACCCGAAATTGGAATAAGTGGCGAGCTTGGCGAACTCAGCTAAGTTCACGTTTCACGAGTACCACAACTAAAGCGACAATTTAAGCAACTGCAAACGATTTCTAACACCTCGGCTTGAGGCTGATAAACCAGTATTACCTTTTTCTCACTCCCGGTCATTTCCTCTGCTGAAGGCACATCGGCCATTTCCTCTGCTGAAGTACATTTTCGGTCAATTTCCTCTCCTGAAGGTACACTCTCGGTCATTTCCTCTCCTGAAGGCACACTCTCGGTCATTTCCTCTCCTGAAGGTATTAAATGAGATCAGCAGCCACCTGAACAGATGAACACCAGTTCAAGACCGAAACTTGTTTGTTTCTTGGGAGAACTAACCCGCTTTTTTTTCTGAGTCGTTCGCGCGGCGACGTGTTGTTGGAGCGCGCCAGCTGTTAGCACGTAACCTAAACAGGGCAATTGAAAATGAGTAAAGGAAAATGATCTCGAAAAAAGGAGACAAGTCACCACCAATCACTACGAGGCTCGAGTGTTCAGTAGTTTTCTGAGGTAATACGCGACGTTGGTGAGGAAACCCCCCGCTTTCTTGCTCGTTTAAGCTGAGTTCATACTTGCGACGGGAGTATAGGAGGATTAGCGATTCGATGTTTTGGCAAATCGCGCGTTCAGCGAACCTGAAATTCATCTGATCTTTCAAGACGACAGCCTGACACACTCTCCTTCAGCGCGCATCTACAATTCTCCTATTCTTTCGTCGCGAAGTATGAAGACAGATAAATGACGGATTCCCCTGAAGTGACACACTTGTGTGAGTATTGTGTCCTTCTTTGGCCCACTTTTGCTCTGTTCCCCATGAAGCCTGTTTCGTTGGTTTTAGCTATAAGGCATTGTTCACAGTCGCCAGGCCCTGACGAAACGGCGGTTGGGAGAAAAGCAATAAATAGTCATCGATCGGAGAATCGCCCAACCGTCCAACCGCCGCGGTTGGGCGGTTGGGCGAAAAGCAGTAGATGTGTATCGATTTCGCTGGCGAAAAACGCCACCGCGATGGAGCTAGCGTTTTGTCGAAGGCGAAAAACGTCGCGGTTTGGCGAAACGCCCGTCGATACGTACACACTTAATTGCATTCTTGACTCCTACCGCCAACGCCAGGCTCTTCGCCCAAACCGCCAATCGAAAAGCTTTCGCCGAACGGCCGCGTTTTCAGAAGAAGAAACCGCGTGGACCCCAGCAGTGTGAACAATGCCTAAAGCACGTAGCACGCTATAGCTGTTGAAGTCGGCCTGTGAAGGGTCATCTTTATAGATGACTGGACTAAATAATAAGGAAAGAAGGTTTACGGTTAACAGTTCCATTGCAAATGAAAGTAGATGAAACAGGATTGTGCACGGCGCAGGTCCTCATGCATGGACACCATCTGCCTATGAATAGAAATTAGGCGCAATACGCGTATTGCCCTGCTTTACGTAATCACACTAAGCTCCGAACTGACTGCTGAACGGCAACTGTTGCTGGTAAACTATCGTTGTTTATTCTAGTTGTTCCTGTTTTCAGTAAGATGTAATGCTGGTTTATTAGCCCGCCAGCAGGAAGGAAACAATAGTTTCTTACTCATCGTTGGAAGTATTTTGTTGTATTGTAGCTACCTTTGCTTGTTCTTTTGGCCTTGCTTTTGTGAGGCATGTCGCACTGAAATCTTGTGAGTAAAGTGGAAAAGTGATCCTATTTCGAAGTGGGCGCTTAACCACTTCGGTGATTTTTAGCAAAGTTCCAGTGGGTCTTCCTGAAGGTGACCTCACCATCGGTTTTCCTTATTTTTTCCAGTTGTTAAAGCAGTGGTACTGAAGCAGAATTCATCTCAAGGTCATAGTATTGCAGATTTTCTCCCTGGGTATCACCAAAGGCTGTAATGAGGTTAGTAGTGACGGCTGCAGTAGCATTGCTGGTGTTGAGCCGTTGTAGTAGTTGTGCCTCGGCGGAAACTGAAGATAACGAGTTCGCCGAATTCGAGGTGGGTCTTGATCGTAAGTGTCTTTCAATGTTCGACCACTTTATATTATACATTCAAAGCAGCATTCAGGATGAGGAGGTGGAAGAGGTAGAACAGCCACAACCAGCTAGTCATAGCACCGACAAGAAAGCTGCAAAAGAAGAAGTTCAAAAACAGGTTAGCATTTACTTGTACTCAACATCTATTATGACTATGCACCTGTTTTTGTTGCCTTGCTGGAAGGCTATTTTAAAGTTATAGCCTAAATGAACCCTTCTGTTTTGTTGTTCTGCCTAGTTCCGGACGGAGTCCCCTTTCTTTTTAGTCGTCACCACCTGCACCAGTATAAGGCGTGTTCTGCCAGAACTTTAACTTTGGTGGGTTCCGCATAAACTTGTGGAGTAGCTTAGCTGGAGTACCAAAATTATCAAAGACTTTTTTATACTGACATTCCGGTGTTGTTGCCTTCTTCAGAGCCTGGAAAGTCGAAAGACATACTTACCTAGTGTGAGACTTTCCACGAAACTTGCCAGATTCGTGGAAAGTCTCACATTATGCACTATTTTGTGTGTTCTCCTCCCATTTCTTCTTTAAAGCTCCCAATGATCGCTTATCAAGACGTCGAGGTCCAGTCTTTCCCTATCGGGTGGACTTCGTACATTCTGAGCACGTTAATATTCACAGTCGCTGCTCTCGTGCCTATGGTTGGAGGCCGTCAACACGACCGCCCCGGGTCTCCGTTTCTGACTCTTTTCAGTATGGTCCAACTAGAAGCCCGTTTCACCATCCCCATTTCAGCAAAGTGTAGCTGCCCTTATTGTTCGTGTCCATAGTCAGTATTAGCTGCCATAGAGCATCACAGGCCCTGCCTGCCTAGTACAAGTTGCCGTTGAGCGTTCTAGAGCACAGTCTTTAGCGGAGGACACCGGTCATTTTTACCCAGGGTCTCCAGACAAACAATATCTTTTCCTCTTTTTATGTGTTTTTTTCAGAAGACAGACGATTTTGATGACGACTACGGAGTTGTGGAAGATGAGGAAGATACGAAGGAGAAAGAGGAATTTGCTGATGTGAGTATGTCTCTCGTTCATGTTTTTTTGAAAAGCTTTTCTGAAGCAAATCACCTCAGAGGCAGACTTGAATCTGTTCTAGTATTATGCTGTAATTTCTCGAAACTAAGTTTAAATTTCACCGAGCTAAACGTGTGAGTGCTGTAAGGCTTCGGCGTAATAGCCGTTAAGCTGAGAGAGTAAAAGGAGCCCTGGTGGCGTAACATGCGCACTCACCCGGAAAGCGTGAGATATGCGTCGTTTCGACTCGCCGCCTGGGTGCTTTAGCCCATAACTCAGCATTCTTGTGATAATATCTCGAAACTAAATTTCTGACACCTGGAATCATTCAAGCTGGAAGTTTTCAGTTTTATTGCGTGTTCTGTATCAGCAAATGCTTACCTGCGTACTACTTTTCGGATGTAACTGCTTGCTATTTTGAAATCCGAGGAGTTGCACTCTTTCAAAATTGCTTATTGTTTATGCAAAATGTGTCCCATTTGTCGTTGGCTTTTTTTATAGAAATGGCTTTAAAAGGTCCTTTGGCACAGTTTGGCTTGGTAGGCGCATTTTGTGGCTTCCATCGATCACTGCCGTTCTCTCCTGTGGGGACTGTGAACTGAGTCTGTAGGTTGTACCATGATGTTACCTGCGATGTAGTAATAACTAGGAGGAGACTAGGAGAAACTAGCGGAAGTGCAAAATGCGCCCTTCCTCTTAGCCAAACCGTCTCCTTTCTTCGTAGAGGTCATATTTAGCACCCTATGTCGTCTTTATACGCTGACCGAATTACAACTGCATGTATACCAAACAGCGTGTCAGATTTGCATATATAATAGAGCGCGGGACTGCAAATTAATCCTTGCGCGCTCAAGTGCATTGACCTGCCATAGGATTTGTAGAGCAGCACCTTCGATATGTGAATTTCACATCGCAGCAAATCTTGAATAACTCCAAAGTCTTCGTACATGAATACAGTGAAAACTGAAGCGCGAGTTCGGACGGGTTGTTGCTGCTTCTCAGTCATGATGAAGCTTCGTTGAGCGTGATGTCAGGCATAGTTATGTGACCACCTGGCTGTTTTGCAGGGGAGACCCCAGGGTTTGGGGGGGATTTTTTACAAAGGACAGAGCACAGCCTGCCGTTGGTTAAAAAACTACGAAATGCCCGATTTTCTTCGGAATTTTCTCCTCTGACATGATTCCCTACCACTTTACCGAAGCTTTCCAGCAGTTCTCTTTTTTTTCTACGAAAAACTACTGTCGCCGCGCTCAAGCAAGGGGGCTGTGTAGAGCCCATGAAAAGAGAGAACCGGGAGAGTAAAACACAAGGGAAGCATTGCTCTTGAAGGGAAATGTGACCCCCCGTTCCCTCACTCCCTTTCCTCAAGCGATCGTGTTACGACTACTGGACATACCCAGTGTACGATTATGTTCTTTGACAATGAGAAAAAATTTTCTTTTTCCGATACAAAAAGTGCGGCGCTCACTTCCATCGAAAAATGAACGTTTTCTGTGAATATCACTTCCATAAGTGTGATTTATATAGAATTTTCATTTTTTGCTGCTGACCGCTGCTTTGAAACCCTCACTTCAAAGGAGGTACACAAATACCACGGTTGCAGGTGCCTGCCCACTTCCGGTCAAATTGGGCATCCTATCAAGTGGAAGCTCTGGTTCTAGCATTGATTGCCATGTATCTACTTAACTATGTTATTGGTCGAAACACTAATCAATCGATGGCATTGGAGTGGTTCGATAACGTCAGAGGTCTGCTCGAGCAGCAATTTGCCTTGGTTAGTGCTTGGACGGACTATTGCTTGATATCTGTAGATCATTGACAGCAGTCATTTGTATTCTCATGGTTGACGCATCCTCCATTTCAGGTAGGAGACGATGGGGTGAATGCATGAATGCATATCCAGAGAGTGGAGCCGCGGTTCAAAAGAAAACTGATTGCTCTTATACAGTTTGGTGCTCAGGTAGAGTAGGCGTCAATGGCATGCTCATTCAGGTATGATCTCCGCTTAATATACAGTCTTGTTCGCTGCGAATGATGGAGCGAGCGTGTCAAGGGGATGGGTTTGGTGCGGCACCAGCCGTCTTTCTCGTTTCTTTTTTTTAGTAAACAACAAAGGTTATGAATCTATGCGTTGCGCTATCAGTCCTTTTCCATAAAACTTTGTCGCCGCACCGCTTCAGCATACTGGTAAAAGAACAGGCACCGGAACCTCATCCTTCATCTCGACACGGCTCATCCGGTCAAGATTACATCTTACTTTTCGCTGTTTTTTTCTTTTTTATGCAAAGTTTGAAATCTGTTCGTATTTAATCCAGGGTACGCTATAGTGCCCGGTTGTCGATGATTAATTGATGACTCGAGTGAAGCGGCAGGACCTTAATGAGTCGAATTATGCGGCATCCTTCACACCCACAGAAGGATGTCATCGACATTCCAATGGTACAGGACTTCAGCAGCATTGAATTAAGATTCGATATATTAGTATGTTCCTATTCTGTAGAAATATTATCGGCACGAGTGATCATTACTATACCACACATCGTTTTTTCTGCTGAAGCTTTGGCCTAATAGGGCTAATCCGGTGCCAGATTCTCTGAAGTGGCCGTCGTTTTTAGCGTCCCGGTGCCACTTAATGCTGGCGACCTTCTTCCCACCAAAAATCGGTATATACACTTGATTCACTAGGGTTATTTGGTGTATCTGATTACCAAATGTTGACATTCATTCTTTGGCGCCGCGTAATGTAGAGCACTCTATCATCTTTGCGGCTTTGCCAAAAAACTGAGCCTGGTGCAAAAAGGGGGGGGGGCGCCCAAAACTTCTTTCTCATAGAACTCAGCCGTAGCAGACGGTGCTCAGAAAATGGGTGCTATATTCGTCATTAGCGCATAAGACAACCTTACTTTCAAGTTTCTATCGGTTTTGGTGATAAATGACAATTAGATCTCTGATTGAGTGTGCAGGATCTGTGCGTGGAATTAATTTTCTTCTAAACAAGGGGAAATTTTTTTCCAGTGAAATATTCTTTCCAAAGCTAGAAATTTGCAGTTAGAACTGGATCCTGTGAGCTGGATCATTTGTGAGATCTTTGGACAAAGAGTGGACAGAAGAAGTCTGTTGTGAAGCAGTACAAGGAGATGTTAGACCTGTCAACCTATACTGTCGAGAAAAAGAACATACCCCAGTTCGGGTTGCCAGCGAGGTTGATTTAAATCCTAATTTTTCGTTTAAGATTACTGGTTTGCTCCTCATTCATTGATGACCTGTGCTACTAGGTGTTATTTTCAGCTTTGCCCTCTACGCTGAACAGTCTGAAGCTACCTATGCAATCTTTGAACCGGGCGTTGTTGCAATTCTTCGTAAATACGAAAAGGCAATCGAACACGTGCACATCTCGGATCAAGTACAGTGGCCAGAAACCTCCTGAGTATGTTTTCAATTACCGTTAAGTAGTAAATCAATGTGTTGAATGTTCTTCTAGGGGAGAAACGTACACTCGGTTACCCGAAGTCGTTCGATTGGTGCAGTTTTGCCTGAATCTAGACGAGTGCCGCGATAAGGATGCACACGAACTTCCTTCATTTGCCAGTGTTCTGATCATTGTCGACGAAGTCGTGCGCTTTCGACAGTCTCATTATATAATTACTAATTATTTAAACAATACAATTATTGATCAAATAGTGTTTTCTTTTTTATTTGCATTGTTTAGATATTCATTATTATTTATGATTATATATCATTAATTATTATTTGTTGTATTATTATTAGTTATATTATTAATATATTATTATTATTATTATTATTGTTATTATAGTACGAATAATTCGTATGATAAGGAGCGAAACAAAAAGCGGACAAGAGAAGGCGCGAAGTGGAGGAGGCATTCATAAAAACCACTCATCAGCTGAGACAAGAAGCAGCACAGGTGAGGAGTTACGCTCATTCTTTTGCATTGAAACGACTTGTTTACTAATAGCTATACTACAAGGGTCTTGTGTCAGTATTTAGTGCGTTCAAGGACGCATGGTTCTATTGGCTACCCATTTTGATATCCATAGTTTTTGCTCTTCAGGCTCGACGTGAAGAGAAAACTCGGGAGCGAAAACAACGTCTATTGGAGGAAGAAGATCCCGAGAAACAAAGGCGTCTCGAGGTGTGCTTCCCTTTCTTTCTTGTTTCCTAGTTCTCTATTGAACGGATTGCTAGCTCTCACTGTTCCTTCGGAATTTTCTTTTTGGTATACATTCATTTCCGGGGTACAAGGCGGCTTTGAGCGCCGCTAGATTGTGCACAAAAGATGCTTTTTCGATTCGATGTCTTTAGTTGCGACAAGTTTTATAAGCAGTCAGTAGCATTCTTCTAGGTTTAGCTTCGCAGGAATTTACAGGTCCCTCCAAGTGCAAAATGCCTCCTTCACACTGAGCAGCACCCCATTTTCGTGTTGTTTGGTTACTATCAGTACACGGAATGTAGAAAAGCATGGCAGTGCTATCTTTAATTATGACCTTTTCAGAAACTGGAAATGAAACGAGAAGCGAAGGCAAAGCAACCGAAGATGAAACAGCTCAAAGTTAAGATGTGAATCGCCACTGACAGATCGTCATATGTTGGATTCTTATCACGGTTTTTTTGTTTGAACTAATAATATATTTTGCAGATGATGTTGATCTGTCAGATTGCGACACAGGTTGTTATAGGCACGGTTTTTTAGGACTTTATCTAGTGGTGAACTTACTTTTTTGTGACATGTACTTGTTTATAAACGTTTTCTCTGGGACGAAACGCCCTGTCCTTCTTAGCTCTGTCATCGAGTATCAGTGATTACATTCGCTTAGATGTTTTATATTTCCTCTTCTGTTCTTCTATCGTTGATGTTTTTTTTGAACATGTTGAATTATTAGGCGAAATAGCTTTGCTATGAAATGTTTAATGTGTTTGAAAGATCTATGAATAAATAAAATGATATTTTCCTACCGTTGATTTATGAAATTGTGCCTTGGAATCTTATTCCCTGTCCTGGTTTCTTTATTTTTTTCGCGATCATGATATTCGTTTAATTTAGTTTTTCTCGTCTGATTTGCCTCTTCCAGCTGGAAAAGGGAATAGGGTTTTCACCCGGGATGACCACAATTCTTCCCGCTGGATTCTGGTCCAAAACGGTTCAGGTATTTCCACTGCGGCCATATTTTGGTCTTCTCAATTAACGAAAGCTAGATTTTCTGTTCTACGAACCTCTCGAGAAGCCATTCATCAGACGATTCGACTTGCACATGCAAGCGAACTAATATTATATTGTTTCGACGACATCCTTAGAATTTTTGTTCGCTATCTCCCTTAATATGCTTGGGTCAAATGTGTTTTCCAAAATCTTTCCGCTGTAGTATTGTATTGTGAGCTCAGGGTGGCTGCATTACCTCCTGCAAAATCGTCTCGCTAATCTGGTTTCATTAAGAAACATCCCTCCCTTGAAACGTTAACTCTACACGTACACAGTAGGTCATTTCCGTAGGGACTCGCACCGGCATCGCGCGTACAGGCTTCTTTCCAAGGTAATTACAATCAACGTTTGGCAGCAGTTCTTAAGGCCTTGATTTCATCGTGTCATTCATTCGTACTTCCTGCCAAGCCGTCACTAGTTTGTATGTTGGCAGGTGCCAACGTATGCACAGCCAGGGGCATGTCGAGTACATTAGGAGATATTCACCTCACACGTATCAGACACCCAGGACCGAGCAGAGAGGAGCAGATGGAGAGAGACGAGAGAGACGAGAGAGATATAGAGAAGTTATATTTGGTCATCCCATTTCAAAAATGTGGAAAGTTTGTTCATATAATGTGAGTGAAATGTGACATAATTGTTTTTACTCATTATCATTGAACACTACTATATATGTGTATACTTGAATAACGTATAAAATGTAACATTGCTATAAACGAAAGAGAAACAGATAAGAACAAGGAGCGGATAGTCCCTCCTTCTCAACGACCCGCTCCTAGTGCCCGAAAGGACCACTGATATCATCGTTTTTTCAACAAGTGCGAGTAAATGGCTGTTGATGCCAATTTCGGCGAATGACAAATGGTTGAGCCGCTTAGCCGTAAGGCACTACCTTCAATGCCAGAAACAGCTGAAAAATTTCGGACGGCTTTATGTTGTGCAGCGAGTGGGGCGCATTGATTACAGTCGACTAGGAGCGTGTGGGATTATTGGACGAGCAACGGAGGATTTCTTGTGGTTGTTGGTGGTATCATCCATTTGTCGATCTGATTGCCGAGGAACAGGCAATATGCACCGACAGTGACGATTTTGTTCTCTGTATAGAGCCGCTTGAAAGCCAGTGTGGGAATCCTTTGCTATGATGATCATCCACTTGCGCCCACGTAACTCTTCATGGTAGAACTCGGGCGGCTTCTCATCTGCATTCATACAAAATTGACGATTGTGAGTTTTGGCTCAGAGAGTTCGGACCACCCATATACATCTTGGGTGGCGTTTTCACAGTCTGAATGACATCTTATACGGAGAACATGCTGCTGCAGCACTCAGAACGGGCTGGCGTTTTTATCGTGTTTCACAAAAACAATTAGTATCCATACGAACACCCTGTTGACCATCCTCAGTTTGTCGAACATAACTCGGGTAACAATCGCAGGAGGGATGTCAGTATCGCGGGGAGCTGGATGCTCGACAAGTAGGTCCAAGCCCCTGTGATCAGGGAAATTCAGCGCTTGACTTCCAGTGCTACCCATTTTTTCTTGCACAGAAAGAAGATTAGGAGACCATCCACGACGACAAATTCTTCTTCTTCCTTCTTCGAGCTCCTGAACCAAACTTCCACCTTGTATTTCGAGATTAACATTACACGCAGTCCGGCACAAGTCAAATTTGGGCAGCGCACTGTCCTCTTATACGCTTGGAAATCCGGCGCTGATTTTGACACTCGAGATTCTTTTCAACTTTTCGGAACTTCTCTGTGGCTAGGTTCGATCAAATTCTCACAGATACCAAGCGCCTAAAAAAAAAAAAAAAAAAAAAAAAAAATAGGGTACTAGCTTCTTAAATGGTATTGTAGGCGCTTCCCTGCTCCTCCTTGCTTTCCTGCGAATCCCTATTTGATCTTCCAACATTTTTTTTGGGGGAATGGGTTGTGCCTAAGTATTTCAATTCAACATGTCTGGGGAGGATAGTTCGCCTCTCTCAGGCGTGGGCCAAAAGTTCCATATGTACGCGAAAAGGAGATGCCTGCCGCCTACAGTAATACAGAAGTCGCAACCGATAGCCGAGGTATTTTTTTGACGAAATATAATAACTTATAGATTTGAATGTCACAAAAGAACAATCATCGGCGTATACCCGTGCTTGACGAAGGGTGATAGTGGCCGGTAAACGGGAGTTCGCAGGCACGTGGCAAGGAGCCAATACTGATCCACCTTCTTTCACTCAGCGCGCTACTTTGGCAATACATTCCTTGGGGGCGCCCCACCTGGCGGAAGGACGCATCAGATGACGTGGTTTCGTTTTGTTTGCCTTCACATTGATTCTACTCCCGCTCTTCCGATCTTTCTTACTCTCTTTTCCACTTTGATCTATTACAGTTCTTGCTTTAATCTACAGGGTAAAATACTTGATCCTTTCTCAGGTAACGCCTGATTACAAGTCAACGTTTGTGTTCGACAACGATTTCCCTTCCTTCACGGATTTCCCTGATGATGGCGGTAATTCAGAGAACGGAGGTGGGTATGAATTCCATCACTTCACGAGTGATGTCATCTGAAGGGAGATTAATCCTAAGCTGGGCATTTTGAACTTCCTGGGTTTGCTTCACTCTTCAACTCGTGTACCCCAATCTCTCCTATACGTTCTCGACACATGAGAAACTCTTTGGAGTGAAGCCATAGGGAACTGTGAGTGAAGGCAAAGGCAGTTGTATCAGTGGATATAAATCTTATTGTTAGGCTCAGATTCCCGACTTTGCTTTTCGTCGTGGGCGAGTCTACCTATTCCAGGGGTTGATTCGGCAGAGGATGAGCTGTTCCGTCAGATGGAAATACGAGGAGTTTGCAGAGTGATCTGTTACCATCCAGACACCAAACAGAGCATAGCCACAATGTCGCTCGAGGAGGTTTGTCGTGTTCGGTTTTGGGACATGAATGAACTTCGCGTAGCCAACCCTGATCGCTATTCCCCTATCCCCTCCCTGTTCCCCCATGTTCACATTTAAGATAGCCCTGGCTCGGCATTTCCGCTTGGCTGCTGAATGTCCTTTCACTTTCTTTCTTCCTTCACTTGCGAGGAAAAATAAGGACGTATGCCGCGCTGACAGTGTCCTTCACTCCTTCTGACGCCTTAGCTTTAAATCCTTTTTCACGCGTCAAAAAAGGGGAAGTAGAAGACCCACAGGTCAGTCGGAGCGTGCCAGCAAGGGGTGGGTTTTGGCGCAGTGTCAGACCTTTTCCACCAATTGTTGCGCTTTCGGGCTTTCAATGAGTAGTGGTAAAGGAGCTGGTGCACCAAAACCCACTCCCGTTGACCGCCTTGGCTGACCTCAGTTCTAACGACTGCCTTAAAGACACATGGTACGATCACACATAGTTTGGGTGTGCGTGACTATCAGCCCCCAGCTGTCGAAGCGTAGCGGTTTCCCCGTCCTAACATGCGCAGGAATGGAGATACAGGACCGTGAAACACGCTAATTCCTCCATGCTCCGCCTAATGCCTTTTGCGGCGCAGTCTCCTCGTTTTATGCTAATAGCCGTCGTGTGCGCGCATGTCGCGTGATACTCTCTTGGCACTTTGCCAAGTCCTGTGATTTCCCTTTGGAATGCAAGTAAAACGCAATTTTTGATGTGGATTGGAGGTGCTGCTCATTTGCTGTAAGTCGAAATTGGAGGTGATGAAGATGGCAAAGGCTTAATTTGCAGCAATAGAATGTAGCTGTTAATATAAAAATTGAAAAAAAATCAAGGAAGTGGCAAGTTGATTAATCGCGTGTATGAATTTCTGCATTCGGGCGCGATTCTGGTCCAAAGCCAATATTAAATACTTTTAAACTATATGAGGTAGGGCGCTTTAGGCTGTTTTTCACGCATTTTAGTTGTATTCCAAAGCGCAATTACAGGACTTGGCGAAGTGCCAAGAGCGCTGCTCGCGACACGCACTGCACAGACCACTGTTAGCATAAATGGGAGTCCGCCGCCGCAAAAAGCAGGGCATGGAGGAATTAGCATTTCGCGACATGCTGGGGGGCGGGGGGCTTGTTAGTTCACGCACACCCACTTCATTGTGTGATAGTACATGGAGTCGTGAGTCATTTTGCAAGTTTGTGAGATATCACAGGAATACTATGTCACGGTCCTTACACCATCAGAACGGACCTCTTACTCGCAGCCTCAATGGCTTCTGGGTGCTATACCTAATTATGTGGAAATGTCAGCGTGCGGTCGCGGACGTCTGGTACACCCAGTCGCCTGTCCGATCGAAGAGTCGAACCCATGCCTATTTATGTTATCCACAGTCGATCGCCCCGGCTGTCAAGCCGGGCGCTCCTCCTTCTGTGACATGGACCGGCTTCGCCGGGCCATGCGGCGCGTGCTAAGTTAAGGATCGTTGACCAACCACACTGTTCAAAGGAATCTTCTGCATCAGCAAGAACTGAAAAGCAGCGCTTGTTCCGTCAAGGCGCAGAAGCGCAGCAGCTAGCGGGGGCTCCCCCCCGCATCACGAGAAAGGATGGAAGCCGGCTTAGCCAGCGATCGACCGGTACCGTGTCATACCTACACGGAAATAGCAGCCTGTTTGGACAGCCACTGAAGCAGCCTATAATTTATGCAATCTGTCTTCCTAAAGCTTTGGAATGCACTACCGCATTCAGCAGTGGAACCCTTTAAATGGCCCTCACTGAAGTTGCTGATGGAAGATAATTGTGGTAAGAGTGATAAAGTCAGTTGCTGCTGTTCATAACATCTCTGTAAACAAACCACATGCATTTGGAATAGAGCTGGCTTAGCGGTCGTACACGTGTCGTTACTAATAAGCAGTGAGGAATGAGTTCTGTTGGAATCACTGAGATCGTTATACTTGAGTCATATCGATCGCATTGTTGTTGTGAGCGGTGAAGCGGATTTTCCCATGCTACCTTGTCAATTTTAGCTCCTATCACTTCCGTACCCGCCAAATAACACTCCCGTCCCGTATCACCTATATATTCACCCTGTATCGCCTCTCGGATCAGAGGTCCCACTGTTGCTGTAGCCTGCGTTACGAATCTGATGACCCTCCCCTTCCGAGGCCGCTTACCGTATCTTATCAACTGTTATCACTTTCTGTCGCCCGCCAATAATGTTCCCGTCCCACACCCTATATCACTCTCACGGATCTGAGTTCCCACTGTTGCTGTAACCTGCGCCACGAATTTGATGACCCTCCTCTTCCGAGGCCCCTTATCGGATCTTATCAACTGTTATCAGCTTCTGCCAGCCCCACCCTACGGCATATCAGTACTTGAAATCACGGTCCCACACCTGCTGCAACTTGCGCTACGAATTCAGTCACCCTCCCCTTCTACGGCCCCTTATCGTATCTTAATATCTTGGTCCGCCGTTGCTGCAACTTTTGCCACCCCCTTTAGGCCCCTCATAATTATCAAAGTGTTATCACCTCTGTACCCATCAAAGTGTTCCCGATCTTGCCATGTATATCACTCCTTGAAATCACGGTCCCACACCTGCTGCAACTTGCGCTACGTATTCAGTCACCCTCCCCTTCTACGGCCCTTATCGTATCTTATTCAATGGTGTCATCACCTTCTGTCACATCAAAGAGGGTGTTCCCGTCCTGCCGTGCATATCACTTCTTGAAAATCACGGTCCTGCAGCTGCTGCAAATTGCGCTACGATTTCGGTCACCCTCCCCTTCTACGGCCCCTTATCGTATCTTATCAAGTGTTATCACCTCCTGACACCCACCAAAAGTGTTCCCGTCCTGCCATGTATATCACTTCTTGGAACTGTCATCCTATCTTTTCTGCGACGCTCGCTATGAATTTCGTGACACACACACACACACACACACAAACACACCACACAGACACACCAGACACACATAGCGGATTATAATATGTAGGATGCTATGAAGTCTCCACTTTCCTTACAAATTGTATGCAGGTAACTGAAGTTGTCAAGGTGTGGATCGAGCAATTTAGGGAGCTCAAGGAGAAATACCACTGGATTCAGGTATTTTTTTCAGGATCAATAGCTTCAAATGACAACTCAAGTGGCAAACGTTTCAGATATTCGAAAATCGAGGAGCCGCCGTCGGTTGTTCGAACGCTCATCCACATGGACAACTATGGGCAGGGAATTTCTTGCCCAACTATCCTTCTAGAAAGGATAAATGTCAACGAGTAGGTCTAAAGTGGCTTAGCTCTTCAGAAACTTTTGCCAAACAAGTCTCAAAGTCCACATTGAGACGGAGGGAACCGTGAGGATCCTCTGGCTTACTGAAGGTTCCTACAATGGGTTTCTGCAAGTTTCCCCACAGATCTGCGTATTGAGTAGGGAGTTGGTGGTACACACCATATCCCAGAGATAGGATGGGCGTGGTTGCGTGCTTCACTTGAACGTGATGGCGACTGCAGTTTCGCAGGGACGTTGCCGTTTCGGGACAATTATGATCATGTCCTTGTCGAGCATAACTCAAGGTGAGAATTGTCATAACAGAAAAACCTCGCGAAAAGGC